CGTTTCTTAAGTGAGCTACATCAATTAACTTAAAAATATAAATTTTGGGACCTAACAAATGATCGACGTCCTTCGTTACCAAACTCTTCGTCATGAGTAAGGTATTTTTACTAATTTTGATTGACTTATGGCACAATCTAAAATCTTACAAAGCTTTCGGTGACTTACAAATTAACAAGGAGCACTTATCCATATACAATATTGAGCTTTACAGGATCTTAATATAACCCAAACTATTGAGCTTTCTAGAAACCTCAATATGATCCACAAATTTAAAGAAAAATAATTTTATAATTTAAAATTTCTATCTTAATAATTGATATAAACAAATTAAATATACTAAGAGAGGAAAATGATAATATTTCAATGAATAGCAATAAATAAAAGCTCAAGTATTGGACGAGAAAACTTTGATGATGAAGATGAATAAAGAATTTGATTTAATCAATCAAAATATTTTCACAATAAATGAATTGATAATAAATAAGATCTAAAATCAATATAATTTTGCTCAAGATAACTCACTTTTAATGTTCTTAAAAAGTCTTGCAATGAATACAAAAGTAAATGTATTTACAGAGTTCAATGAGAACAAGTAACCAGATGTCCGCATTTTGAATCGGATGACCAAAGTAGCTGTTATGCGTCAGAAATTAGAACAATAAAAAATGATCATTGGATGATTTGGACTTCTGCTTGGACCAGACTCAGTGTTCGTTTGAAGTACTGGACCGTCAGATTGAGTGAAAACATCTTCATCTATTTTTTTACTTAGAAAATGTGAACTTTTGAATAAGTTTCAACTTGTGTTTCAGAAAATTGATATTTATAAATTGTGATCTAAGTTTAAACATCAATTTGAAATTAAGTTTTGAAAAATAATTTTTCTGCAATTGTTTTTATGAAAAAAAAAAAATTGGCGAATAAAAATTTGTTAGTTGAGCTTTTAATAATTTATTATTAAATATTTAAGCGTTATACCTTTACAAGTGAACACAAACATCTAGTCTAATATCTTCCTTCGATATTTGACTATTGAAACTCTTTGACTTGAATGATTTGTCTTGAATACTTGACTTTCATCTAGATCTTTATTGTACGCCCAATTTGTAATGTGAATTTTTTATATAGTAATCTTTTTTGTCCATGATATCTATCAATTCGAATGCTTTGAAGACATCTTTTTATTTTGCTTTACATAATATTCTTTTGGATTATTGAACAAAACTTTTAATTTTTTTGCAAATTACACTTAAAACTTTTAAATTGTAGGAGGGGGGCTCCAAATATTTCAAAACTATGCGCGGAATGACCTCTAGATGATTTCTATCCAAAAATGCGTTAGTTGACAAAAAAATTAGCTTTTCACCATTATTTGACCAATTTTAAAAAATTGGAAATGGTTTTTGAACTTTTAATTAATTGAGATTCTGAAATTTACATAGAATGTCCCATTTTTAATATTTGCAGCATGATCCCAAACTTTTAATAAAGTTGATCCGAAAGGACATTTAACGTTTTCATCCTAAAATCTGTTAGTTGACCAAAAATATTTTTAAAATGTAATAGCATTAAGTTTTGGGCCAAAATCCTAAAAGGAATAGTATTTTGTTGGAAAATATGTAGTTAAAAAAATAAAAATTGGATTTGCGTGTAAAATTATTTTATGGAATAATATGTGGTTGAAAATGAATTTTGAAAAAAAAAAATGAGTTTTCGAAAAAGTGGAACGAAACATAGGCTGAATTCAAAATTGATTTTTCAATGACATGTAACATGATTCTTTCTAAACATTTTGTAATTTCAAACGGAAAATCAAATTAAGAAAGTGAAAATGATTTTTTCTTTCAGAAAATAAAAAATAAATAAACTGCATTTAAGGGCGTCAACTACACTTGTGATCTGATATTACCGACTGAAAAAGAATCTAAAGGAAGTTGCCTTGAAGTCTTCTCTATATAAAATCTTATCCACATTTATTGTCATTTACGTGCAAAACATTATTGGCCGGAGTTATTGACTTCTCCTAACACAATATATCTTTCAAACTTTTGACATATTCGATCAAGGGTTGTTCTACAAATTGTTTTTTATAAAATTTTAATAAAAATCGATTTAATGCTATTAGCATTACTTGTGTTTAATATCAGTTTAGGTAACGTTATTAATAACATTAATTTACAGTTTCAATTAAATGAATTACATAATAACATATAGTCTCATGTTCTAACAGCACTGATATTAGATTGCATTATTCTTAAACTTATGGTTGAAAAAATTAATGAAAGTTATAAACTTTATGAAATAAGTGGTTAAAATTAAAATTTAATCGTTGAAAGAATGAACAAGATTTTAACAAACTCTAAAACTTTTAATACAACTCTCCAAATTGTACGTCGACCTCTATTTTGTTTTTTCCAATTATTTGAAATCGACACTGAAAATGAAACCCTAGAAATTTACCTTAACGAAGAAATTTGACCAAGCTTAAAGCGACTTTTTTTGAGTTGTGGAAAATGTCGTTAGAAAATAACTTCTATGTATGATTGAACTTCAAACACATTGAATATACTGAAAACAAAACAGAAATTTAGAGCATGTCTGGCCCAGATTATTGTTGCAAAAACTGTGATTTTTTGTCTGTTATTGCCCACATTTTTTGATCATTTCTCTCTGGCATGAGTCCCACATTTCAGACCAACGACTATAATCTTGATGTTAATCTAGGGAAATAGAGATAACAGACAGGCCTTTATTATTTTTGTGTTCCAAACCCCAGTGTGTGATACATAAAACAAAACTTATGAACATGTAAATTCACATTAGAAACTCAAAGTTTAAGAAACACAATGAATGAAAAACATGAAGCAAGGTATTAATCTTGAGAAAGGTACAAAAAAATGGCCACAAAGAAATAACTGGAACGTTTGGATTAATTCCCTAGAAAACTGCTGGACTTGTTGATAGTGCTTGTATTTACGTTGTTGTTGTTGTTGTTGGTAGTGTTACCACTGTCCGGTCGCGAACCACCCATGATGGAGGTGATGGCAGCGGCAAGGGCGGCAGTGAAATTGGGATCAGCCGTGATTGCTGCAGTGGCAGCGCTCAGAGTGTTGGCGAAGGACTGGTGGTGCTGCGGTGGCGGAATTGGTTCAATATTATTCTGAGAACTCTGATGCCCTGAAAATTTGGATTGGTTGACCAGGGCTTGGCCAAAAACCTGAGGCATTTGCGGGGTTGTAACTGAAACAAAGTTTTGAGGAGGGACTGGGAATGGGAATTGGTATTGAGTAGGTGGTACTCTTTGGAACTGTAATGGATTTGGACTGTGAGTTAGGTCTAGAGTGACTGTAGGAAAAGGAGCTGAGGCAGAAATTGTGGCAATATTTGATGAATAAGGAAGGGTTGTTCTTGCAAGAAAATTGGGATTCATCAGACCATCTGCACTAGACATAGATCCTGAAAGAAGCATACTGGCAGCGGCTGAGGTGGTTGACGCCATGGCCGTGGCGGCCGGAGGCAGTGGATGATTATGTGTTCCTTCATAGGTTGTGGTCAAGATTGTTCTGTCCTCAGCACACCTTTGAACCTGTGATTAACCATAACACAAAATTAGCTTAGAAAGCTAAAATTATATTGAATTCAGAAAATTAATTTGTCAAGTAGCTAAACATACTTGTTTGCGCACTGGACAACCGACTGCCATGGTGCAACGATAATAAGCTCGTGGACATGGGTTTCCTTTTGCCATCTTTTGACCATATTTTCTCCATTGGCATCCATCAGAAATCTGAAATCAAAAATAGGGTTAGAGCCTGCATAGCCATATTCAAATTGAATCTCCAAGAGAATTAAGGTAATAAACACCCAATTACCATGGGAGCTTCTGACCGGGCTCGAACTGAAACACGAGCTTTCTTCATGGTAGCCTCCGTGGATTGATCCACTGGTTTTGAGGGATTCAACTTGGGAATCTTGTTAGGACCCCAACTATCAGATTCTGGGCTCTCAGCACGGCCAATCTTTTTGTGATGTGATCCAGATGTCGTTCTTTCTTCTGATGAAGAATTAGTTGGCTCATCAATTTCACTGGCAGGGCCTAAATCCAAGAATTGTCTTGGAACTGTTGCCTTTCCATTTTCTTGTTTCTCCTCTAGAGATTTTCTGTCTAAATTCTGAATCCAACAAACAAATATTACTGTATTAGCATCTCAGCAACAACGGAAAAAGAGCGATTAATGTAATTATTATTGAATTACCTCAAGTTCTTGTGTGCTATCATGCGCTGTTGAATTTTGCTGCTGTTGCATTAATCCCACAAGATGCATCTGCAACGCAGTATAATTGCTGCTCACCTGGCTTAGCATCCCTCTTAACCTTTGATTTTCAGCATTCATTCTTTCAAGCTCAACTTTCAATTTTGCTAGCTATATTACAAACAAAGAATAAGAATCTAATTAGAAATTTAAGTTACAGTAATCAAGATTATTTAACACAAACATTAAAGTTGAATCTCCTTAATTACCTCATTTTTTGCTCTCTTATCTTCAACATCCAATGAAATCCCATCGTCAACCGTTGATTGATCACTTCCAGTGTTAGCAATAACAAGTTGCAAACCAGTCTATACACATAATGAAGTGACCATAAAAAAAAACCCAGTAAATAAAATGCCAATAATAATCTTAATTTCATGTCCAAAAATTCTATTACTTACGTTAACATCCGATTCCCTTGCGGTGTGTGAATCTTCCTTCTTGACAGACATATCCTTGATAGGCCTATACTTGTCGGAAAAGAAGTCTACTTCTCCTAAAACCACCCGTTTCTCATCTGCCGGAGATGAAGCAGACGGTTCTTCTCTACCGTTCAGAAACATAGTACCGCTGCCCTCTTTACCATATAACCTTGAGCTCAAATCGAATCCGAAATCTGGCTTGCTCGAGAAAAACCCAACAGGATCAGAATTTTCAAGTGTAAGACACCATCCTTTGTCCATAAATTATCAAGAACTCAATCTAATAGCTTAAGATGTGGGAGAAATATACACGAAATCAATTTTACTTTTTTATTGTTTATCAAGAAAATTAAGAGAGGGTAAGATCAAGAGTTTGAGAAGTCTTCTACAAGTGCAAAGAGCAAGTCTATATAAAAGTGTTTGAGGAAGAGAGAGACAAAGAAAAACTTTCTCGCAGACCAGAAACTTGACGATTTGGTGCAGGCGTGCGTGCGTGCGCCGTGTGTGTAGCGAGAAGGCCAAGGAGGATTTGATAAAGTTAACGTCAGACGGTGCGTCAGTATTGTGCCAGGTTTCATTGGGACCCACTTAAATTTATTAATAATTTATATTTTTAGATTGAGGACTGAAATTTGACTGGTTCGTGCTGCCCCATGCAATGCGGCGCGTTCCTCGTGAGGAAAAGAAAAGGTAAGAGAAAGTAAACGGATTTGACGGCTGAAGTGTGAAATTGTGAAAAAAAAAATTAAAAAAATAAAAAGATTTAAGATGAGTGTGTACGATTAACCCACGTTAGTGTATGGTTTGAGTGTGAGAAAGGGTAACACGTCTCGGATCAGGGGCGGGAACCTATTGTTGACATTTCTAGCCACGGGACCCCGTCGCTAGCTTAGACTTTGCCCACCATATTTCTAACCTATTATTTTCTTTGTATTCAAAATTCAACGTCATATTGTTGAAATAGATTTAGAGGAATGATACATGTTCACTCAAGTTTACCACCTTGACAACGACAAAATGCATAGGTATCACTGATAGAGGTGTCAATGGACCAAGTCGAGTCAGCTCGGCCCATTGACCCACGAGCTCAGCTCGTTACAAATATCCGAGCCCGGCTCAGCCCATGAGCTCGTGGCTCGTGTGCGGCTCGTGGACCGAGCCGAGCTTTAGCTCGTGGCTCGGGTAATTTTTTTTTTTTTATATTAATAAAATATGCCTTTTAAAAAAAAATGAATTTTTGGACGAGTCCACGAGCCGGCTCGTGGGCTTGAGTAGCTCGTGAAAAAACCAGCCAAGCTCGGGAACGGCTCATAGCTCATTGGCAACGAGCCGACTCAGCTCATAGCTCATTAGCAACGAGCCAGCTCGACTCGATTGCCACCACTAACTAGTGGCGAAACGTATGCAGAGGTGACTATGTCACCCAAGTTTACTGGTCTGAGTGTACAAGTAACATAAATGATAGATTTAAAGGGGTTTTGAAAACTCATAATTTGCTTGTGACTTAGAAATTATTTTCAGAAATATTGAATAATTTTCTTAAAATTCTTTGTATGGCTATAAAAGTGTTTATAAGAAATTGACTTAAACTAGTTTATTTAGAAAAGACCTTTTATAAGAAAGCAGAAGCAAAAATAAAACATATGTCAAACGAGCCCTAACACAGTGCATGCAAAAGTGTTTTAACTTAATCGAACATGGGATACATTATTTAATCAAGATTCATGATCTCTACAATAATTTACAATTATGAACAAATAAAGTATAGATCCACCACATGATCATCCATTATTAGCGAAAAATCTAATAATATTGGAAATTTCCTGATCATTTTCTAGTTCATTAAGAATACAACAATTAAAGATCTATTTTCCCGTTTAAAAATAAAACGCATCTTCAAACTATTATTCACCCTAATTTCACTACGATTGTGTTACATGTACATAATAGATTTATATAATGATTTACATGCACATGATGTAATGTGATATGATTTGATCAGAATTTCTTCAATTAAAAAAAAAAAAATTGCCCTCTTTTTTTGACAGGAATCTCCGTCTTCCTCTCCTTTCTCCTACAG